GAAAATAGTTGACATGTATTCACTTAAACAAGTTTTTAAATTTACCTCACTTAAGTTTTCACATGCTCCATACAAATTTCAACATTTAGTTTAGATTAAATATTGTATATTTGCTCAAATTATCATGCATATGGCCTTAGACCTCTTCAAAAAATACCTTTTTCATCAAACCTATTGAAATCAATGTTTTTCCCATTCTCCAAGGTCTAAATAAACAAAATATGCCATTTATTTTTATCTTGGATCTTGGATATGGCTGCCGCAAGAGCCATTTAGTTTTGGTGTTGACGTTTGTCAAAAATGGCGAAAAATTTGGGGTATTACGTCTTTGTTTTCTTTGTAGCTTCCCATAGGTTTATGCTATAGCATTGAAAGTGGAACCAAATGAAAGCTAATAAAATTCTCTTGCATATGGTGTCAAACATATAAACATCTGTGTAAATTTTCACTAATTTAAATGCAGAAATATGCACATTTTGATGCTCGGAAAACAAATAAATTACAGACCTTTACCTCAAAAATGTTACTTATAATTCACAATTGCACATATATCACAAGGATGAAATTATATAGTCTATAACTTCAGTCTAAACATGTGTATTGACCAAATATTTTTTTTTCTAAGTAATAGTTTGTGATATAGTATACAGCATATAAATATATTGTCACTTGTTCAATGTGTTTTTTTTTTTAAACTGTCAAAACGTCAACATGAAAACTAAATGGCTCTTGCGGCAGGGATATCAAAGGTCCAAGATCAAAATAACTGGCACATTTTGTTCATTTAGACTTTGGAGAATGGGGAAAAACATCGATTTCAATAGGTTTGATGAAAAAGGTATTTTTTTTGTCTTTTTTTATTTAAGTAAAGATTATTTTAATAAGTAATGTTATGGTAGCAGGGTTGCACAAAGTATCAGAAGTATTATATTTTATTTGTAAATTATAACATAACAGGGACAAAGAAAAAATTAAATTGGGCATAATGCTATACAATACAAATAATTGCTTATGTGGTAATCTGTCATTTTCCAATTTCCTATGTTCTCAAAAAGTCATTTTTGGAAAATTCCATTCAAAGTATTAAGATTTCCAGCTTTTAAATAAGAATGGTAAGAAAAGAAAGCAGACATACCTTGAGTCCGCCGCACTCTGCTGCTGATCCTTTGTCCACCCCAGTGATGTAAATTCCCAGAGCGTATTCAGCTCCCCCTCTGATCATCAAACCCAGAGACCGTCCGTCATCCAGCACCAAGTTCACCTGTTTTTGACAGGACAGAACAGCAGATAAGACAGGCTGAAGCATAAGAGACACACCATAAACATTGCAGGTTTAGAAGATGTGCCTCAGATTTATGACTGTGACGGTGGAGCCGGGCTCTTAATAAGACAGAAGAGACAGATAACACATCCGTTTAATGAAACACTGTCAGTGGGAGAACCTGAAACTCCTGCACATTGTTAAACCTGCAGCAATAAATCTATGTTGAATGTTTAAAAAAGAGGATCATTAGTTTCCTAACAGGGACATAAATACATGAAACGGAAGAAAAACCATAGATCCAAAAACTACCAATGTCTGGGAAATGTATTTAAATAAGTACAATCATCTATAGATCATCTTCTTAGTATAAAGCAGCATGAATCCAGGTAAAAATGAAGCTTTTAGAGAAGCATTAGACGTTAATAACGTCAGTCCATGAAAACTGCACCAAGTATTCATCACAACCATTAGAAAGCATCTCTATGCTACAGTAACTAAGAAATTTCCAGCATCACCACCACAAACAAGCAAGTTTGCCAAACTCTGCACATTCTTTAGTTGGGATTTTGAGCTTTGGTCAGATGAGAACATTATTAATAAAAAAAATATGAACTTTATAAATCCAACAATAGAGGAATTCACTGGTTACAACATGAGTACAGAAGGATGGAAAAAAAGAAGAAAATACATAGAAAAAAAGAATAGCATAAGAGCATCTATGTACAAACTTAACCAAAGAGAAATATATAAATACTTAGAATATACTTAAAGCTACAGTGTGTAATTTTCAGCGACATCTAACGTCCAGACTGCAGACCGCAGCAACATGAACATCTCCCCCCCACCGCTTCTCCCCCCC